CTGCATAATGCATGTAATACTGATTACAATTGTAACTAGCTTTAAGAAATATTTTCATACAGTGAGAACCACAAGACAATTTGAAGACGACATAATACAGCAATACTGTAGTTTATATGATACTATTATTATTATAAAGATTTATTCACACGCAAAGATATAAATATATATATAAATGGTGTAAATTAAATTTGTTTAAATAAATTTTTGAAAATATAGGTTTCCAAAAGAAAAGAGAAAAATATGCAAAATTATGCACAAATAGAAAACATTGATCATTACTCATTATATAACATATTTATCATTTCAGTTATTACGTAATCGTCGAATCCTTCAACATATAAATTATTCATTCTTGTATTTAAAAGTTCTTGTAAAACCGGAACTTTCCATGCATGTTCCAATGGGACATCAAAATATTTCAATTGTTTCTCAACTAACATTTTACTAAGATTCCGATGTATTTACAAAACAATAGAAAATGAATTTCTGCCAAGAACTGTGTTAAGGTCATTTTTACATTAATTAGAAAGAAATCTAATGCAAAGCTTAGAACTTGCTTCAATAGTCTCATAGAAAGACACACATCTGAAAGCTAACATAGTTTTTACATGTAGACATTGTGAAATACTTTCAATCAAGTACCTATGCGTATCTCTAGGTACATTAAAAAGAATTCTAATAGCAGTATGCCATGCTGTATACAATTTTGAAACACATTGGGAACTCAAGTCCCAAATACTAGATCCATAAAAACTACAACAGTAAATATTATACAGTTTCAAAATAACGTCAGGACTGTTAAAATAAAATTCTTGGTTAAGGGAATGAATTTTTTAAATGAAAATAGCTCTTTTTTATTGCAATCTATGGTCATTGAATTATCCCTTTGCAGAATATTTCCTAAATGTTTTAAGTCGTTGACAAATGGTAAAGCTAATTCATTCAATACAATTGGGGTTATTTCATTATGATTAACCCTTTCTTTAGAAAAAATAAGGCATTTAGTTTTACATTTTTCGATTCGAATATTTGTACTACATTTCAGTTTAGTAGCTTTGCCAAAATTTTCACAAATTTTCACCATTTCCTGAAGACCTGTTCTGCTAGGAGAAAGCAGAATAATATCATCTGCATATACCCAGATACCCATATAGACACCCTGGATTTGGCATCCAATCGTTGAACAGCGTAATAACTTGATAACTTTGTCTATATATACAGAATAGCACAGGGGAAGAAACTGCTCCTTGTCTGACTCCATTTTGTACATTGAAGGTATTTGAGAACGCATTACCCCATCTAACATTACATTTTTGATTTGAGTAAATGTACAATAAACATCTTAATATAGAATAGCGCTTAGCTTCGACCACTGTCCTACTAAACTCTTAAATCAAGGGGTTGAAGACACTTGATCTCTGTAATGAAGAAGTAATTCACGTCTAAAGTAAGGTTTAAACGTCCACAGTGATTCAAAGATTACAAGTTCTCGAGCAAAAAATCGATGAGAATTTTGGCAATCACTTCTTTTAAACTTCAGCTGAATACAAGTTCAAGGGCTACCCAAAAAAAAGCCAGTCTTAAAAATTTATGAAACTTTTCACTGCAGTCTGAATCTATGATCTCTGCAGTCACAGGTTCATGATTCAAAATTGTTTCACCATCTGAAGAGATTATTATGCTGCACTGTCGATAAAGACGAAAAACAGATCAACAAATATGAAAAAATGATAAATTATATTAGAGAACCATAAATTATATATTATATCAAAAATGATAATCGAGTTTTCTAAAGTATTGTTTTGGAACATTAGGTCTCACGAAAAACAAAATAACACATTTGATAAATACTAGATTTGTAACAAAAATAAACAGGCTCTAGCAGGTGTCACATTAAACTTAGGAATTAACTCATGAGTTTTGTTTGTCCTTGATCCATGTGACAATAAATCTGACAGGGGTCACTTATCCTTATGCTATAAAAAGTTGCACTAATTTGTCAAGACTTCGACGACTTTGAAACGTTAAAACGTCTTTTGCCATTAATATTCTACTCTCTTATTTAACTATGCTTTTTTTAGCTTACAATATAAACACTTAAGAATCATTAAGTATTTATGTTAACTTAATTTTTGTATGAAGAAATTGGCAAAATCCTAATTGACATTTTCTTAGAGCTCGCAACCATCTAATAGCAAAGGGCTAAGAACATGTGCAACCATTATATCTCAATTGGCTTGGAACATGTGCAACCATTATATCACAGTGGGCTAGGAACATGTGCAACCATAATATCACAGTGGGCTAGGAACATGTGCAACCATTATATCACAGTGGGCTAGGAACATGTGCAACCATTATATCAAAGTTGCTAGGAACATATGCAACCCCTATATCACAGTGGGCTAGGAACATGTGCAACCATTATATCGCAGTGGGCTAGGAACATGTGCAACCATCAAATCGCAGTGGACCAGAACATGTGCATTTTGCAACCATTATATCTCAGTGGGCTAGGAACATATGCAACCATTATATCACAGTTGGCTAGGAACATGTGCAACCATTATATCACAGTGGGCTAGGAACATATGCAACCATTATATCGCACAGTGGGCAAGGCACATTTACAACCATTATGTCGCAGTGGGCTAGGAAAATGTGTAACCATTATATCACAGTGGGCTAGGAACATGTGCAACCATTATATCACTGTGGGCTAGGAATATGTGCAACCATTATATCACAGTGGGCTAGGAACATGTGCAACCATTATATCACAGTGGGCTAGGAACATGTGCAACCATCATATCACAGTGGGCTAGGAATATGTGCAACCATTAAATCACAGTGGGCTAGGAACATGTGCATTGTGCAATCATTATATCACAGTTGCTATGAACATGTGCAACCATTATATCACAGTTGGCTAGGAACATGTGCAACCATTATATCACAATGGGCTAGGAACATGTGCAACCATTATATCGCAGTTGGCTAGGAACATGTGCAACCATTATATCACAGTGGGCTATGAACACGTGCAACCATTATATCACAGTGGGCTAGGAACATGTGCAACCATTATATCACAGTTGGTTAGGAACATGTGCAACCATCATATCACAGTAGGCTTGGAACGTGTGCAACCATTATATCACAGTTGGCTAGAAAAATGTGCAACCATTATATCACAATGGGCTAGGAACATGTGCAACCATTATATCAAAGTTGGCTAGGAACATGTGCAACCATTATATCACAGTGGGCTAGGAACATGTGCAACCATTATATCACAGTGGGCTAGGAACATGTGCAACCATTATATCACAGTGGGCTAGGAACATGTGCAACCATTATATCACAGTGGGATAGGAACTTGTGCAACCATTATATCACAGTGGACTAGGAATATGCGTGCAACCATTATATCACAGTGGGCTAGGAACATGTGCAACCATTATATCGCAGTGGGCTAGGAACATGTGCAACCATTATATCACAGTGGGATAGGAACTTGTGCAACCATTATATCACAGTGGACTAGGAATATGCGCAACCATCATATCACAGGGGGCTTGGAACGTGTGCAACCATCATATCACAGTTGGCTAGGAACATGTGCAACTATTATATCACAGTTGGCTAGGAACATGTGCAACTATTATATCACAGTTGGCTAGGAACATGTGCAATCATTATATCACAGTTGGCTAGGATTATGTGCAACCATTATATCACAGTGGGCTAGGAACATGTGCAACCATTATATCACAGTGGCCTAGGAACATGTGCAACCATTATATTGCAGTTGGCTAGGAACATGTGCAACCATTATATCACAGTGGGCTAGAAACATGTGCAACCATTATATCACAGTAGGCTTGGAACGTGTGCAACCATTATATCACAGTTGGCTAGGAACATGTGCAACTATTATATCACAGTTGGCTAGGAACATGTGCAACAATTACATCACAATGGGCTAGGAACATGTGCAACCATTATATCACAGTTGGCTAGGAACATGTGCAACCATTATATCACAGTTGGCTAGGAACATTCTTTAATTCTAGAACTACTTGGAATTTTTCAAAATTTTTCTAATGTTTCCAATGTTCAATTTTGTTCGGTAAGTAGCTTGGGTACCATGCTTTCACATAACACAATCAAGACACAGTCCACTCTGTAAGTCGAAGGTCACTTGAAATTGCGTGTACAGTTCCTTTAAACTTGAAATTATGTCTACAGTTCCTTTTAAAAGAAACCCCATTTTGTATCCTTGCTTAGTTTTTACTGTTTTTCGCAGTTTAGGAGTAAACATTAGTTTTTTACCTTAATACTTTTTTATAACGTCTTTAAATTGTATTCAGAGTCAGAATATAAGCTATAATATAACGTCGTTAAGTTGTATTTAATTGTCTTTAAATTGTATTTAATTGTCTTTAAATTGTATTTAATTGTAATATAAGCTGATAATTTTGCTTTTTTAATGTATTCCTTGCCTTTAACTTGACATATTAAAAAGAACACCTTTTATACTACCATTCAATGCATTATTCCTGTATGTAGAAACCTAGTATTATATTTTTAATGTATTCCTTGCCTTTAACTTGACATATTTAAAAGAACACCTTTTATACTACCATTAAATGCATTATTCCTGTATGTAGAAACCTAGTATTATATTTTTAATGTATTCCTTGCCTTAACTTGACATATTAAAAAGAACACCTTTTATACTACCATTCAATGCATTATTCCTGTATGTAGAAACCTAGTATTATATTTGGCTGCATCTATTTACCCATTCTATCCATTCTCTATCTATCTACAGATGGTTGTATCCAGCCATCTATTTACCCATTCTATCTATTCTCTATCTATCTATGGATGGTTGTATCCATCCATCTATTTATCCTCGAACGAGCTCTCCTATTTCTTCTCTCCGCGGAGTTCAAACTCTTCTCCGACGGTTCAGTTCATTTTCACTTGGCTCCATTTATACTGGTCTCCGCCTAGCTCTATATACTGGTTTCCGCCTATCTACATTTACTTGTCTCCGTTTAGCTCTGTATACTGGTCACCACCTAACTCTGTATACCGGTCTCCGCCTAGCTCTAAATACCAGTCTCCGCCCAGCTTCATATACTGGTATCCGCCTTGATCCGCATATTGGGCTTAACCTAGCTCTGTATACTGCTCCACCTAGCTCTGTTTACGAGTCTCCGCCTAGCTCCGTATACTGGTCTCATTCAAGCTCTGTTTAACGGGCTTCACCTAGCTCCTTATGCTGGTTTCCACCTACCTTTGCATACTGATCCCCGCATAGCAATATATACTAGTCTCCGCCTAGTTCAGTATACTGGTCACAGCCAAGTTCAGTATACTGGTATCCGCCTAGTTCCTTATATTAGTCTCCGCCTAGCTCCGTATTCTATTCTCCGCCTAGTTTAGTATACTGGTCACAATCACAGCCTAGTTTCCGCCTAGCTTTTCATACTGGTCTCTGGCAACCTCCGTACACAACACAAATATCTGCCTAGCTTCGAAACTACACCAAATACTCAATCCAGCTCCTTACAATGGTCTCCTTACAAAGGCCTCCACCAAACCTAAGACAATAGTCTTCAACCCGCTCCGTTCTTGTTCTACCTTAAACTTGAACTCTACTTCTGCGCAGAGAAAAGGAAATATCTAACGGTTGGTTTGACTTCTTCTATTACATAAAGAATGAATTAGTTTAGTTTAGTTTAGTTTAGTTTAGTTCAGTTTAGTTTAGTTTAGTTTAGTTTAGTTTAGTTTAGTTTAGTTTAGTTTAGTTCAGTTTAGTTTAGTTTAGTTTAGTTTAGTTTAGTTTAGTTTAGTTTAGTTTAGTTTAGTTTAGTTTAGTTTAGTTTAGTTTAGTTTAGTTTAGTTTAGTTAAGTTTAGTTTAGTTTAGTTTAGTTTAGTTTAGTTTGGTAAAAAAAACTAGTTATGATTTAGTTTTTGTTTAATTTGCATTTTGCATCTTAAATAAACCTAAAAAATGCGGGAGATTAAACTCTAAGAAGTCATGAGAAAGTAAAAAATCAAGTGCAGAAACCACAGTTTTTATTTCTGTAAGAGGAAAAGGAAAAAGTTTTGATCCTCGTTTATTTAAGTTAAAAAATTTGGCAAACTATCAACTTGATGTTTTACAATTTGACAAATATTAATCGTGTGGTGGGAGTGGTGGTTTGCCTTTTTATGCTGGTTTCAAAGTCATCAAAGTTATAAAACATTTTGTGCCAGGGGAATGTCCACATTTTCAAACAAAGGTGGGGGTGGGGCCTTCTGACTTTGTTTTTAGAGATATCTCTCTGATTTTTGACATGCAGGCCTAATTGTGATCTAGTTTTTTAATCAAAAACCAAAGTGGGGGAAAAATGATTTTTCCTTAATTTTTCCCGCATTTTTCAAACATTTTTTTCCAAAACTTTGTGTTAGGTCCATGTGGGGTGTCTAAAGTCATCAACATTGGGTCGGAAAACTCAAATCTGGATTCTTTAATGCATTTCCTCCTCTCCTTATACCTTCCCCCCCCCCCCCAACAATTCAGGCCTGCATGGCAAAAAACAGAGAGATATCTCTAAAAACAAAGTCAGAAGGCCCCCCACCTTTTGTTTGGAAATGTGGACATACCCCTTTAAGTTTATTAGATAAAAAAAACATTACCTAAATCTAAACTAAATTCTTATATCATGGTAAGGAATGCCGCAAATTATTATAAAGATAAAAGACGATCTTGAAGTGGTAAAATGTTTGAAGTAAAATTTCCTTTATACTCAAATCATTTAAATAAATTTTTCATCATTTTTTAAAATTAAAATTATTCATTACTTCAGCTATAAGATTTATCGCGTTACGGTTGTTTTGATTTTTACTTCCGGCCTTATAGTATTTATTTAGTGGGACACCCTGTAGTGAACATTACTGCATTCTCTTGAGATATTAATGGCACTGCAAAGAACATTGTTTAATCCCATTTGTTGGTAGTTACAATCTATTACCATCAACCCTCCCTTTCCTTAGCTATGGTTAGTAATCATGTAAATCCCTATTTTTAGGAATGATTGTAAGATTATATTTTTTTGTTCTCGAACCAAATTTCGTAAGTTTTGTTTGATTTAGTAAGCAAAAGAGCTTTTGATTGCTACTAATCTTATGTCTATCTGTTGCGTTTATAAGAAGAAAATTGTTAAAAACGACTCATACCGAAGAACGTAGCGTCCATACAGATTCAGAAAGTTGCAACATTTTTCGCGAACACTCCCTTTAACTCCATTAAAACTTTGATATCATTAATAAATGGAAACTTTATTACAGAGCAGAAAAAAACAGGTGTTAAGTGAACTGAAAGTTTAGCTTTTAATGAAAAAATAATGGCCATTAAGCGTCAACGAACGCATTAAAAACCAGATTTACACTACTGAATATTTATTCCCAGTTTTATTAATTATGTATCCTTTCTCCTTGATTTTTTTTCAAATTTATAATTAGATTAAAAAAATCTTTAAAAAGTTTTTAGGAATTTTTCAGTATAGAATTAAAATCTAATTCAAGTTTTTCTTCAGATGTTGGGAGGCTGGGAGGTGGTTTATGGTATAATGCTGACTATCTCAATCTCCGAAAACCTGATAGTTATTTGGATAATTCTATGTAAGATTTTGTTCCTTATTTTCATCCTTTCATCTTACTAATCAATTTTATTTTATATTCAGACATTTCGGGCAAGTGATATATAATGCTTTTATGCTTTAATTAGGCCTTTACACATTTACCAATAATTCACTTCACGTCTTCATCTTATATTTACACATTTACCAATAATTCACTTCACTTCTTCATCTTATATTTTTACACATTTACCAATAATTCACTTCACGTCTTCATCTTATATTTTTACACATTTACCAATACTTCACTTCACGTCTTCATCTTATATTTACACATTTACCAATAATTCACTTCACGTCTTCATCTTATATTTTTACACATTTACCAATAATTCACTTCACGTCTTCATCTTATATTTTTACACATTTACCAATAATTGACTTCACGTCTTCATCTTATATTTTTTCACAGGATAAATATCCTCGCGACCATAAACATTTATTTAAAGCCCTGTACTTACAGTAATAACCGGAAATTCTGAAATAGCAAGACGACTTTTAGAGTCTATTTATAACTTTAAACAGTCCAAGGAACATGTGACACAGCGATTGAGAAGTGTAAACAGATCCATTTTACTTAAAAACTGATTTAATAAGATATATCTGGTGAGTGAACCCATTGCTTTGTAACTACATTATACACTTAAGTATTTCTTTACTGTCTTCTTCCTCTTTCTTTCTGGTTCTTTTTGTACAGTGAAACCCTTAATAACGAATACATCGAAAGAATTCATCAAATGTCGTATTATTCACTTTCTGATGATGGAATGTTGCAGATATTTAGTTTTTTAATTAAATGATTATGTGAAACTTTTTAAAACTGTTCCTATATTCATGGCTATTTATTTATTTTAATTTACGTAATATTGTATAAAACTCATTGAAAAAATGTCAAGACGACATTCGATAAATTCTTCCGATGTATTCGCTATTAAGGGTTTCACTGTATTTGATTTTGGGCTTTGTATTGTTAAATTTCTTTTTGATAATTTTTATTCTAATTTTACTTTATCTATAATTAATATTAAATCCATGTCCGGTTTGTGCTGTAATGTTTTTATGTCGATCTGAGGTTTCTTAATTATTGCTATATTTTTGAGAAACTTGGAAAAATGTAAATGTAGTTTTGAAAAAGGGTTTAGCAGAACAATTTTTTCGTTTTTTTTAAAAAAGAGATTTAAGAAATTTACTCAGAATGTCTATTTCATTTTGTTCTACATGTACAATGATTTTTTCTACACATTTTTTAATTAACCAAATGCTGTGTTTTAATAATTGCTTTTTTATTCAGGTCATTCATCAATGCGCACAGTCACCAACTTCTTCCTTGCACATCTAGCTGTTTCTGATCTTACAATGTGCATATTCAATTGTGCATTCAACCTCGACTACATGTTGCACAAGTAAGTGAACAAGTTGTAAGGATTAAAAAATCGGAGTAAATGTGACAAAGCCTTATTCCTCTTTCTTCCAGAAAGTATGAAAAGTTTAGGATTTTAGTCTTAGAAAATAATTCACCAATGACCGGTCCGTAATTTATCAAGGGTTAACCCAACCCCTTAACCCACCCCACATAGAAACTACTCAAATTGCGCCTTGAGTTTCTGTCAATACATATAAATATCAAATTTCAAGTAACACAGAAATGCGATGGAATACCTTTTGTTTGCTCCCTCTCGGCTGTGTCTAAGCTATTATGTACAAGCTGTTGTAAGCAAGCTATCATGCACAAGCTGTTGTGACCAGTCTATTATATACATGCTGTTGTAAACAAGCTATTATGTACAAGCTGTTGTTAACAAGCTATAATGTACATGCTGTTGTTAACAAGCTATTATGTACATGTTGTTGTTAACAAGCTATTATGTACAATCTGTTGTTAACAAACTTTTATGTACAGGGTGTCCCACGAAACATGACAGTATGCAAGACGACTTGAATATCGTCTTGATTTTTGCTGCATTTATTTGTCAACCTAATTTTAGAAGTAAATTTCTAGAGATAATAATCACAAAAAGTCCTGCCATTTCCAAAATGTGGTCTGCATTTTTTGTGCTTTCAATATTGCCCGAGATATGAACAATTTCGTTCAGATTTAGACAATTTTTGCTTTTATTTAACAAAATTGAAATCTGAACCAAACTCTTTATATCTCCGGTAATATTGAAAGCACAAAAAACGCAGACCACTTTTTGGAAATACCAGGGCTAGGAGAATTATGTGATAATTGTTTCAAGAATCATACATGGTAAAGTAGATAGAAGAATAAATGTCAAAAATGAATTCAAATATCAAAGACGACCTTCAAGTCATGTTTCGTGGGACACCCTGTACAAGCTGTTCTTAACGAGCTATTATGTACAAGCTTTTTTAAACAAGATTTTATGTACAAGCTGTTGTTAACAAACTGTTGATAACAAACTATTATTTATATGCTGTTGTGAACAAGCTTTTATTCACAAGCTCATGTATCAAGCTATTATGTACAAGCTATTGTGAACAAGCTATTTCATACATGCTGTTTTTAAAAAGCTATTCTGTACAGGAACTGGAAGTTTGGGCGGAACTACTGTATAGTAAGCAACTTTATGTCCCTGTACACGGTGGCCTCTTGTGTGTTTTCTTTACTAGCACTTACATTCGAGAGGTACTGTGCAATTCTAGTTACTTTTACATTCGAGAGGTTCTGTCATTTGTCCTACAATCATTTGTTCTACAATCTTTTTTCCCACAATCATTTGTCCTATAATCATTTGTCCTACAAGAACAGAAAACTTCATTTGTCCTAGATATCATTTGTCCTAGACATCATTTGTCCTACACATCAGTTGTCCTATATATCATTTGTCCTACACATCATTTGTCCTACATATCATTTGTCCTACACATCATTTGTCCTACACATCAGTTGTCCTATATATCATTTGTCCTACAAATCATTTGTCCTAGATATCATTTGTCCTACAAATCATTTGCCCTAGATATCATTTGTCATACACATCAGTTGTCCTATATATCATTTGTCCTACACATCATTTGTCCTACACATTATTTTTCCTAGATATCCTGCACATAATTTGTCCTAGATTTCATTATCCTACACATCAATTGTCCAAGATATCATTTGTCCTAGATATTATGTGCCCTACACATCATTTGTCCTACACATTATTTGTCCTAAATATTATTTGTCCTACACATCATTTGTCCTACTTATCATTTTTCCTAGATATCATTTTTCCTACACATTATTTGTCCTACACATCATTTGCCCTACACATAATTTGTCATAGATATCATCTGTCCTACAAATCATTTGTCCTAGATATAATATGTCCTACACATAATTTGTCCTACACATCATTTGTCCTAGATATCATATGTCCTACACTTAATTTGTCCTACACATCATTTGTCATAGATATCATTTGTCCTATTCATCATTTGTCCTACACATCATTTGTCCTACACATCATTTGTCCTATTCATCATTTGTCCTACACATCATTTGTCCTATTCATCATTTGTCCTACAAATCTTTTGTCCAAAATATTATTCGTCCTACACATCATTTGTTACTTTTACAGTTGAGGGGTACTGAACATTATATTTACTTTTACAGTTGAGAGGTACTGTACATTATTGTTACTTTTATAGTAGAGAGGTGCTGTACATCATTTGTTACTTTTACAGTTGAGGGGTACTGTACATTATATTTACTTTTACAGTTAAGAGGTACTGCACATTATTGTTACTTTTATAGTGGAGAGGTACTGTACATTATTGTTACTTTTACAGTTGAGAGGTACTGCACATTATTGTTACTTTATAGTGGAGAGGTACTGTACATTAATGTTACTTTTACAGTTGAGAGGTACTGTACCTTATTGTTACTTTTACAGTTGAGAGGTTCTCTACATTATTGTTACTTTTACAATTGAGAGGTACTGTACATTATTGTTACTTTTACAGTTGAGAGGTACTGCACATTATTGTTACTTTTATAGTTGAGAGGTACTGCACATTATTGTTACTTTTATAGTGGAGAGGTACTGTACATTAATGTTACTTTTACAGTTGAGAGGTACTGTACCTTATTGTTACTTTTACAGTTGAGAGGTTCTCTACATTATTGTTACTTTTACAATTGAGAGGTACTGTACATTATTGTTACTTTTACAGTTGAGAGGTACTGTACATTAATGATATTTTTATAGTTGAGAGGTACTGCACATTATTGTTACTTTTACAGTTGAGAGGTACTGTACATTAAGTTGAGAGGTACTGCACATTATTGTTACTTTTATATTGGAGAGGTACTGTACATTATTGTTACTTTTTCAGTTGAGAGGTACTGTACCTTATTGTTACTTTTACAGTTGAGAGGTTCTTTACATTATTGTTACTTTTACAATTGAGAGGTACTGTACATTATTGTTACTTTTACAGTTGAGAGGTACTGTACATTATTGATATTTTTATAGTTGAGAGGTACTGCACATTATTGTTACTTTTACAGCTATGAGGTACTGTACATTATTGTCACTTTTACAGTTGAGAGGTACTGTACATTATTGTTATTTTACAGTTGAGAGGTACTGTACATTATTGTTACTTTTAAAATTATGAGGTGCTGTACATTATTGTTACTTTTACAGCTATGAGGTACTGTACATTATTGTCTTTTACAGTTGAGAGGTACTGTACATTATTGTTACTTTTATAGTGGAGAGGTACTGCACATTATTGTTACTTTTATAGTGGAGAGGTACTGTACATTATATTTACTTTTACAGTTGAGAGGTACTGTACATTATTGTTACTTTTACAGTTGAGAGGTACTGTACAGTATAGTTACTTTTACAGTTGAGAGGTTTTTGTTACTTTTGCAGTTGATAGGTACTGTACATTATATTTACTTTTACAATCCAGAGATACTCTAGAATAACTAAGTGTATTTTATGTTGTTACAAAGAAAATAGTTTCAAATCTTTTAAGGTGAATCATTGAATGATAACCTTAAAGTCGTCTTCCAATTCCAGAGTTTCTGGTTTTCACTTTAGTTAAACCGGTCATATCCCGCGAAAAATAAGTAAAAAAATTTATTTAATTGTCTGTTTTTTTGTTTAATTTTTAGTAACTTGGATAAAAATGGCAGCACCTTTTTAGTAATTTAAATTACCAAATTGATTTGAATCAAACAAAAAAACAAAACAGTTGTACCTGAATTATACTATACTTATCATAAATAAACAAAGAGAGTAGTAAAACTTCCTTAATGTTTTGAAAAAACATTAAACTTGAATTAAATTATAATCTTACCTAGGCTATCAGGTTGCTTTGCGCCCGTATTCTATTTCAAATTTGAACGATGCTCAATCTATATCAGCATTTTCTCCTCGATAAAAGATTGAGAAAAAAATCGCGGATTTACTTTTTTTCGTGTTTAAATTTTTACGAACAGTTTGCAGCCACCCAGTAGATCTTCTACATTATTGTATTTCCAGTGAATAGGAACAGGAGACGTAATTTTTAGTGAATTTCCTTTTAGAAGAAATGTCTGTTACACAATAATATTTGATCAAGGAAAATTGAAATATTTTTGTAAAATTGATTATTTTCAAGTGTGGTTTCTCTAGAAACTTGACTCAGTTCGGTGAAAGGAATTAAATTAATTCAACTTTATTCTAGATAAAAAGGGGTTCCTGAGGAAACACCCCCTTTAAATAATAAGTTTTGTATTTTTTCAGATTATATATCCGTGTCTGACATCATAATTGATAAGTTATTAATGATAAACAAAAGTTGGAAAAACCTTTTATATTTTACTGAAGAAAAAGCATCACGTAATTCTTCTTCTTAGAGAAGTTTTTCTTTTCTTTTCTTTTGCATTTACACCATCACACATAGGGCTGGGCTAAGTTCAGTTAACGGAACGTAGGTTTTTGAAAAGTTAACGGAAGAGTCCGTTAACAAACGGAAAAATCCATTAACGAAACGGATTTGAAAACGAAAACGAAGCGGATTTTTTTAATGGTGAATTTCATTTTTTCTGCTTAAAATTGCATTAAATTTGAAAAAAAAAATTTACGTGTTATGATGTTTTTAAATTTCGTCTTCTGTGTTCACAACTTTAAATGCTGAGAATAGATCGCGATAACCTTTGAATTTTGATTTTAAAAAAAATTGGAATTTGTCCAGCTGTGATGCTGTTAGAATCTGGGTTCTCCTCAGAGCAGGATAAATATAGTTAATTTGGATATCTAGAATCTACTCCGCAGAAAAGGATAAATATAGTTTAAGTATAGTTTACAATTTGACAAACCGTTAAAACTACAAAAGACTGTTAACAGCTGTACCAATAACGATTTCATAACCATTAACAAATTTTTGTTGGTGCTTCATGAAACGATGAAATGGTAATTTTTATAAAAAAAAACGATAAATGCCATTAACGAAAAATGAACGACTACCTGAAATTTTTCTTTTTTAACAGTTGGAACTAACCCTTACAAAACGGCTAGAAAAAGTTGGAACGTGCCCAGCCCTAGTCACACAAACTTTTGATAAAATTACAATGTGTGGATATTACAAGAAAGCAAAAAACAAAGAAACTGACCAATTACTGCAATTTTCAATTTTATAATTTTTGCAACCTGATGATGCAAACTTCTGTTATTTTCTACAATTTATTGATGTAACCAAATTCATAGTTTGACATTTTAAAGTTTTATGACATAAGGTTGTACAAATATAATAATTAGCAATTTAGAGTTAAGTTTTAAGGTTTTTAAATAAAAAAAACACGAGAAAGAAAAATGAATTTAATAAACTATAATTGATTTTTTGATTTAATTGTTTTAAGTGGATTAAAAAGTCATTAACTGTGTTTACGAAAACAAAACCTGTAGATCTCATAGGATTTAGAAATTCTACAGGGTGATTTTTAAAAGTCGATTTTTGTAATGTTCACTAAAGCAAAACAAGGTACAACATAAACATATTTCTTATATTTATTAACTCTTTATAACATGGCATAACTCGTTATTCCATGGCATAACTTTTTATAACATGGCATAACTCGTTATTACATGGCATAACTCGTTATAACATAGCATAACTCGTTATAACATGGCATAACTCGTTATTACATGGCATTTGATAAAGAAGTTACTAATCTCTTTAAGTGTTGTTAATCTTTTTCTGGTTAAGGTGGCTCTCATACAACTTCCAAACTTAGAACTCGATATTTGGACAATTTGACTTTTTTACTTCACATGGAGGACGAATTAAATATTTTGAAAGCTGGGAATCTAAACGATCTTTTTATATATCTATTTATTCATTTTTAGTTCCTTATAAACACCCTACAGTATATTATGAAAGTTTTTAAGTTTTTTGGATTTTGAAAGATTCCACAAAAAGATGATAAGATAAAACTTACACAATTGTTTATCTAAAACATTTGCTTCTCTTAAAGTTAAAAAAAGAAGTCTTAAAACCATCGTTTTGGTTAGTTTTTCCTTATATTTTAATGTAAGATAACAGTTTGCACAGTTCATTGAAAGCAAACTGATATATTGAAGAGCAACGGATAACATACTTTAAATTCTACAAATGTCTATATTGATCATTCCTTTTATAGTACTCTAGTACCCCCCCCCCCCCAGTCCTAAGGCGCGTAAAGAAAAGATTGATTTGGAAAAGGTTTGGAATCTAAACGTCATAGGAATTAAGTCCTATAGTTGTAATCCCTATATCTTTGCAACCTATGGGTGTAAACGTTTGATATTTCAAATATTTGATCCATCAAAATTCATAGTTTGAAATATCAAAGGTCTTCGACATTGGGTTGCAAAGATATAAGGTTTAAAAATTAGAGTTTGTTACTTTGTTTTGAAAAACTATATAAATCTGATAAAAAGACGATGAACTATAAGTTTAGAGATCTCAATAAAACTAAATTCCGACCTGGTCTAACTCGTCCAACTAACCTTTTAGAGAAATAGATTCCCGTCACGTTCAGAGTTAATTTGATTATTCAAAAATATGTAATTCAATCAACAATTTAAAGGGATTGTCATGGAAATTTCAATTTTAAGGGACTGTACGCGTTATTTCAAGTGTCTCTCCATACAAAGATGGCATTTTGCCCGATTCACAACGAAACCCTTGAAACCGTTGTCTGATTTCTTTAACTCCCAAAATAATGAAATTTGTATTCACGAATAACAACCCTTTATCTGAGAAGCAATATGGAAGATATCGTCTGTTTTCTAACTTAAAACGTATCGAATTGAAACCTGCTGCATGGTTTTGTTCGGTTTAGTAGAGAAACCACAACAAAAAGTAGTCATTTTCAGCTAGAAATACAAGAAAATCTTTGTCATTTTCAGCTAGAAATACAAGAAAATCTTTGTCATTTTCAGCTAGAAATACAAGAAAATCTTTGTCATTTTGTACAAAGGGTACCATTGCGAATCGTTCAAAATGCTTTTTTGAAATACATATTTCTGAAGAGTGTGTGAATTCTTACAACAAACATAATATTTCCCAATTTTAATAATCCTTTGACTTAGTTTTCTGATTTAGGTACTATGTTGTAATGATGCCGCTACGAAGACGACCAACCCGCATCTGCGCAGTTAGCGGTATTGCAATCATCATCATCACCTCCTCGCTACTCTGCCTTCCCACCCTTCTATTCTCAGTTATTGGAGATATCAGGTTTACATCTGCTTTGCGTCGTTTTTTCACTTGCAAATTTGATTTTTCAATAAAAAGTATTTCCGAATTTTGTTAAAAAAATTTTAATGGCTTTGCAGTCACAGTAAATGCCTGGTGGGAAAAATTTCACTTAAATTATTTTTCACAGACATAACCGACCGATGATTCCCCCATCAGAAGAAGGTTAAGTTACTTTACATCCCTTGGAACAAATAATTATTTTAGAAATGAAGCTGGAGAAGACAGTAAGGTTTGTTTCTTACTTTGGCCTGATGGATTACCCTTTCAATCAACACAGGACTTCTGGTAATATTTTCTTATCATGTTTGGACCATTCATATTTTTTACAAGAATTTTGTTTTACATTGATTAAACTATTCTTCAGATTATAGGATTAATATTTACAATATTTAATTTCATATTTGGAATTTTGGTGATTATCAAACTTCAGTGGAGCTTAACTGAAGTAAATTGTTAGAAATGCACTAAAATTGTTGTACATTCATCAGGAGGGTGGGGGGACAGTTGCGTCGATTCCCCACCCCTCTTTCCTAAATAACAGCCTCTATTAAAACACAAACTACTTGTTGCGAACGCCTTTTATAGATTTTTCATCCAAAATATGTTGTTCAACGTTTGTCACCTTCTAGGTTAATAGCGTTCGTGATTACTAACAACGTGAATTAACGCCGTGTTAATTAAAATAACGATCAATATCCGTTGATTGCATGCCATCGTTTCTTTTCTTTCCAAAATGCGGCTAGTTGACGATAGAGCCCTAGTTTTTGACGTCGATTAAATATTTTTCGGGAACAATAAATCAATTTTCAAGTTTGAAAAAATTTAAAACACAAATAAAAATAGGAAACCTGGTTTCGAAAGATTTAAAAAAATTTTAAAAAAGGAAACCTGGTTTTGAAAGATTTAAAAAAAATTAAAAAAAGGAAACCTGGTTTTGAAAGATTTAAAAAAAAAAATTTAAAAAGGAAACCTGGTTTCGAAAGATTTAGAAAAAAAAATTAAAAAGGAAACCTGGTTTTGAAAGATTTAAAAAAAATTTAAAAAGGAAACCTGGTTTCGAAAGATTTTTAAAAATTAAAAAATTGTTTCAGGTACAACACTTTCTTCCTTACTGCGACCTACTTCATTCCTGTCCTAATCATGGGTAGGTTAAGAGGTTTCCTATTAAAAATGGTAATAAAAAGTTTAGAAAGTTAGAAATGGTCAATTTTCGTTCTTATTTAATACTTTTATGTTATACAAAGCTGATTATGTATTCAATTGTGCACACTTCAATCATCCCATACAAAAGGTTAACAACTTTATTAAATCAGAAATACTTATGATGAAGTTTTGTTTTGACTGGTGGAAATTTAGCGTCTACAAAGTTTGTAAATGGTTAATCTAAAATAAGACTTTGCTTGTCTATCTTGGCCCAAATTTTGTATGGAACCTCAGTTGACCCCAGGAAAGAGTTATGATGGATGCTTAAAATCACTAGAAGTTGTCTTCTTTTTTATAAATTTTGAAAATCCACGTAAAAAATTGTAAATCCACAAAATGGTTAATTATTTTATAACCCAAGAGAGAAAAAATTAAGAATTAAGCAACAATTAAAAGTTGGTATAGAAGATGGGCGCGAAGCCTAGTTTTAATAAACGTCTAATATAATGTGAAAGACGTATCAGATAAAAAATAACTAAACATTTTTATAAATCTATTTCCTCTACATAGAGATTGGCATAGTTTTTTTAACGAACGAAATTTTGAATAACGAGCAAAATGTTTTTTGAATGATGGTGTCGTTTAGGGAAAACAACGAGCGATGGAAAAATGACTTGGATCGTTCACAGAAATGAAAAACGATCGAAAAAAAAAACTAAAGAAAACGATTGCTTTTACTCATTGAACGAATTTTTTTGAGCAAAATTTCAAAAAAAAAATTTTTTACTGCTCGGATCATTTTTTCGAACATTTTTTGAAAAAAAGAAAGCTTTTTCCTGAATGAACAATTTTCTTGAACAAACGGTTTTCTTGAACAAACAATTTTACTGAACGAACGATTATACGTACTGAACGATTGTTCAGTGAGAAACGAACTATGATGAAAATGAATGATACTTTTGAGAACGACCGAAATCAATTGTTATGAACTATTATATAAAAAAAGAAACCAAATCGGCCATTCACGAACGATGATCGATATTTGTGAAAAGCATGATATAATCCAAAAAAAGCTTAAGTTATAGATAATGTGCAATAAAACATTGTACTTAAGAATCTTCAAGAATGTAGTTATTTCATAAACATTGTATTCTGTCATCTGAAAACTGGTTTTTGATAAAATTTATTAATCGAAAATACTTTTTTAAGCATCCCTCCACTAGAGAGAAGTATTTAATTTATGTGCAATCACTAGCACCACTTTATGACCTCGTAGCTCCTCTAGTGTTGATTTTACGCACGCAAGTATAAGAGAATCAACTTTATTTGGTCACAGACAAGACAATTAAAACAAGATGAAAATCAAACGTGAAAGGAATTGAATCTTTGGCCTTTGCCACAAACTCTAATTTTCTAGTTAATTTTTACAATCTTAGTTTGAAATATCAAGTTGTAAATATGAAGTGATTAGAAAATTTGAGATTGTGGCAAAGACACAATTCCTTGACATAAATTAAATATTTGTTTACTTTTAGGATACTGTTATACCAGGATGGGGTTAAAGCTGTGGGGTGGGGAGCAGATCCTAGAGGGAGCACCTCCTAACCCAGCTCTTGAGAGGGCGCGCCACAAGAAACGAAAGGTAGGTGCTATGAATTGTCAATGAATTTTCAGGGGCTAATGGCCCCCTCCCCTCGGATGGAAATCCTCACACCCCCCCCCCCCTAACAGTAGAAAGTTTAAAAAGTTAAGCCACTCCCCCTGCAAGAATTTCTTTAAATACCCCCTTTTGCTTAATGGGACTGTAAGCGTATTTTAATCTGACTCTCCGTGCTAAGATTACAATGACTGATTTATAAAAAGTATTTATTTCCTAGATTTTCTCTATTGGTTCTTATGAATAAGAAATGCGCAAGCCACTTTTGCAGAGAAATCGCAAATGAAAATAAATATTTATATCTAATTCACACCTGATCAGACAAAGCTTTAAAGGGTACCGTTGTAAATCGGGCATTGCAATCTTTGCATGAAGGGTGAGTCGACATTAAGTATACGGCCCCTTCAAGGTGTATATACAGCCCCTTCAAGGTGTATATACAGCCCCTTCAAGGTGTAGATACGGCCCCTTCAAGGTGTATATACAGCCTCTCCAAGGTGTATATACAGCCCCTTCAAGGTGTATATACGGCCCCTTCAAGGTGTATATACAGCCCCTTAAAGGTGTACAGCCCCTTCAAGGTGTATATATGGCCCCTTCAAGGTGTATATACAGCCCCTTCAAGGTGTATATACAGCCCCTTCAAGGTGTATACACCGTGTCCCAATAAACATGGGAAATAATTGACGAATTCGATATCGTCTTTTAAAATAATTCTTTGATTTAGTAAAGTGATACCTACTGAGAAAGCTGTAATCAGTAAGATTTTCGTCTGCTATGTTTACAATTTGGTTGTTTATGTTTTGTCGACTGCATACGGGTGTACTTAGTAAAACAAGAAAATTACAGTATACTAACAGAGTAAACTTGTCCGTCTTCACTGTTCATCTTGCGGAGACATTGTAGACACTTCTTTACAGCCCTTTACCGTTTTCATAAAATAAACTCTAGCAGACATAATAACTTTATGGCTTTTGAAATTAGGTATTACAATTTTAATTCATAACAAAGACGATATCGAATTCGTCACTGAATTCCCATGTTTATTGGGACACCCTGTATTATATTTTCTTCTGAAAAAGTGGGGGAAATCTTTAAAGTACAACTAGAATATAAACAAATACTAGAAGACATGAGTAACAAAATTGCAGAAGCTTTTGGTTTTCTTTGTAAAAACTCACCAGGTCCTCAGTGAACTATATTTTGTTTTGATTAGTTTTAAAAAAGTTTTTTCCTGGACTTTGACTTATCTCTGTTATTTTTAGTTTTGAAGAATTTACAAGAGAAAAAGACATTTTTGTTACCAGTTAGAACTCAGAAATAAGTACAATAAATATTGATCATATGAACCTAAAGTTAAATAATAAAAAATACGATAATATCATATTACTTATTAAAAATAAAAACATAAAAGATTATATTTAAATACGAACGAATAAAATCTAAAATGACCATTAATGAAAATTCAAATTTAATTATTTAACAAAATAAAAATATTCAAACAATCGTTAAAGAAACAAAAAAGTTCTAGTTTTTGCGAAAATTTTCAGTTTTAATCTTCCGTCCAAATTTGTTTGGTTAAATATTAGAACTTAAAGTTGTTTGGGTCTGTTTGAAAGTTTTTCAACATGAGAAGTTATGATTGAAAACATATAAGATTTCGAAATTTACTTAAAGGAAATGAGTTTTTGCCACAAACTCTAACTGTTTCTCCCCTATATTTTAGCAGCCCAATGCCGTAGATGTTTCAAACTATGAATTCTGTTAGATCAAATTATCTAAGTTTGAAATATTATCGGTTAATACCATCTGGTTGCAAAGATATAGGAATTAGAAAATTTGGGGTTGTGGCAAAAACTCAATTTCTTTGTCCTAATGTAATGAATTTATAATTGAATACTTAAAGAAGATATAAATTATGCATTCCATACATTTTTGAATTAGTTTACAAGACAAAGATAACTAAAGGAACTGAGTTTTTGTCACAAACTCTGGTTTTCTTACCGTTATATCTTTGGAACCCGATGTCGTAGACCTTTGCTATTTCAAACTATAAATTCTGTTAGGTCTCCAAGTCTAAGTTTGAAATATCAGAGGTTTGGAACATAGGGTTTCAAAGATATAGGGATTAGAAAATCTGAGTTTGTGGTGAAAACTCAAATATATTTTGAAATACAACGACAAATTACTTAATGCATTTAATATACAAGAAAAATAAACATATATTTACGTATAAAAATATATATGATTTAATGTTTACATAATAAGATAAAGCTCGATTAAATAAAGTATCAAGTACAATATAATAAGATTTTGAACAAAATATATATAAAGAAAACGATCTTCTAACCGTACAATGTTGGTTAGGTTTTTTTCCCACTTAGGGAAAACATTTAGCATAGTTTAATAAAAGCAAACTTTTACAGAATACAGTTTCCAAATGTTGGAACCTTCACACATTTTTATGATGCCTTATATAAGCCAGAAAATTTTAAAAAAGATAGAATAAGGACTTAAGAAAGCATTGAATCCTTAACGCTGCAATCTTAAAGAACCACCCATTTGAGTTAACAATAATATTTTTATTTTAGATTGTGAAGATGAGCTTTGCGGTCATTTTGTTGTTTGCAGTTTGCTGGCTTCCTTATCATCTTTACTTTCTCATCATATACCTTTACCCAGGTAATATATATATATACACACATATATACATAAAACATGATAAAAGTTAGGAAATGATTTGAAATCCGGTTTTCTATCAACCTCCCTGTTTATTTACTGTCAAAAAGAATGGACAAAAATATAATATGCATAAACAATTAGCGCCCTTCTTATAGAAATAATTTAAGCGTTTGAACAGAGCGTTCCAACCGGCCTATTTTCTTCTCAAAATGTCAATTTTTCTGTAAAGATATATAAATGTCCTCAAATAAATTTTTTTACTTTTAACCATCATTAAACTTGTCCTGGGGTCATTTAGGTCTGATTGGTTCAACTATTATGAGGTTTATTAGATACAGACAGACAAACGGACAAGTGTTTACTTATATTTATATATAGATTGATATAGGCTATACCATTTAATAACATCAGGAGCTATGATCCTGCCCTGGTTGGATGATGCCTACCTAACAGTCTATCTGATGGCAATGTCAACCTCACTTATCAACCCAACCATCTACTATATCATGAACAGGTAGATAACCATCTACTATGAACAGGTAGATAACCATCTACTATGCACAGGTAGATAACCATCTACTATGAACAGGTAGATAACCATCTACTATGAACAGGTAGATAACCATCTACTATGCACAGGTTACTATATCATGAACAGGTAGATAACCATCTACTATGAACAGGTAGATAACCATCTACTATGAACAGGTAGATAACCATCTACTATATCATGAAACCATCTACTATGAACAGGTAGATAACCATCTACTATGAACAGGTAGATAACCATCTACTATATCATGAACAGGTAGATAGCCATCTACTATGAACAGGTATTGAAAATGAATCATTTGTTTTCTCTGAAAATTCCCCTTGAGGCGTTAAATTGTTATTAAATATTTATACTACTGCACACTGTAAAGCATTAAGTATTGATAGTTCAATTTAGCTAGAATAGACATAGCTATAAATTTGAAAATAGAGAAACTTTCATTTTCAATGAGTTTGATATTGATACGTTTTATTTTGGTCCGATTTCAAACTTGCTATGTTTATTTTGGCATTATTCTTCTCAGCCATTAGCTGTTACTTGGTATTATTAGTCTTACTTTTCTAAAATAACTGTGTCCGGCAAACATTCCTGGTTGATATGCATTGTGGCTAAACAGCTCACCCTGAGGTAAAGAGAGAGAGAAACAAACGGTTTCTTCTATTTGAAATCAAACGTGTTTTCGTCTATAACTCAACAATATTTAGACTTACAGATTTGTTTGTTTTATACTTTTTCATTCAAAATGTATATGCCAACAAAAAAAGTATTTAAGATCAAAGGCTATAAAATTATATAAAATGGGTCACATTGTGATCGAAATTCACAGTTTTCTGAAATATTGACAGAACCGTTAAATCCACGTGAGCTGTAGATGCAATATGAATTAAATTGAATTAACTTGCCAAATAATTTGCATGTGTTAAATTAGCAAAGTTGCAGTTATTAGCCAGAGTATAAATAAAGCACTGTGAACTAGACAGAAGAATTCATGAAATATAACAGGTGAGACTTTGTGACCTCGTAGCTCTTCAAGTTGGGATTTTACGCCCAAGTTTGAGAAAGAAATTTACAGAAATTTTAACATTTTTTTCTTCAAAATTCTTTAAGAAAAGGAGTTATGATTGAAAAAATGCAAAATTTAAATTTTACTTCCAATTTACTTATGTATGACATAACAGTTAAGTAACAAATACAAAGCTATTCCTACAAAACTTTAATTCTCTTATGTTCAAGAAATTATGGATTAGAGGTTTCTGAGGTCAGATTTAATAAAATGTAAGAGTTAGTTCAACAATAAAACCGCCTCTTTGATCATTTAGAGACGTGGTTCAAACAAAAAACATCTATAGTTCAAATACGTCTGATTATTTTTTAGTTCCCGACCTCTGAAGGGATACAAAAACAGAATGAATTTTACCTTGACAATTTTTAAAAATATTATATTTAGAAAATTTCGAGATTACTTCCACACGGCACTCTGCATAAACCGATGCAGGGCTATTAGGTAACAATATTTTATCTTTTCTTTTTAAATATTTTTTTAACACTTTTGAGTCACACTCAAACAGGTGTTATTCGAATTGCCTTCTAAAAGTTAATTTTTCTAAATATATTTGAATATTATTATGAAACAACTTAAACATAAATAAATCCATATTTATATAAAAATTGGCTTGTCTGGGTGTCTGTATGTTTGTATCCAATAAACATTAAAACGGCTGAACCGATCAGGCCCAAATTTTGTGAGGGACCTCACGTGGCCCCAGGGTAGGTTTAATTTATGAATGGTCAAAATTTCATTAAATTTTTTAACATTTTGAAAATCCACGAAATTTTTGTTTAAATCCGCGAACTTTTTTTGTTTTGGTTTACGATGTACACAAAGAGAAGATGTTCACAATTAAAATAGTAGATGGGCCTGAAGCGCCCTAAAAGGCAAGTACATACAGGGTGTCCCACGAAACATGACAGTATGCAGGACGACTTGAATGTCGTCTTGATTTTTTATATAATTTGCTGCGTTTATTTGTCAACCTAATTTTAGAATTAAATTTCTAGAGATAATAATCACAAAATTTCCCTTGTCCTGCCATTTCCAAAATGTGGTCTGCCTTTTTTGTGCTTTCAATATTGCCCGAGATATGAAGAATTTCGTTCAGATTTCGACAATTTTGCTTTTATTTAACAAAATTGAAATCTGAACCAAACTCTTTATATCACCAGACGCAGACCACTTTTTGGAAATGACAGGGCTAGGAGAATTATGTGATAATTGTTTAAAGAATCATACATGTTAAAGTAGATAGAAGACTAAATGTCACAAATAAATTCAAATACCAAAGACGACTTTCAAGTCGTCTTGCTATTGCCATGTTTCGTGGGACACCCTGTATATACTTTGCTTGTCTTGTTATTTGTATCAAATAAACGTCAAAACGGCTAAACTGATAGAGTCCACATTTTTTGTGGGATCTCGCATGACCCAAGGGAAGGTTTTTTGGATGATCGAATTTTAAAAAATTTGCCTCTAAAAAAATTTGATTTTTGAAAAGTTTTAAAATCCACGAAATTTGTTGTTTGTTTTTGTTTCACAATGTACACAAAAAGCGCATGTTTGCAATTAAAATAGATTATGGGCGAGAATCGTCCTAAAAGTCTAGTTTCACAAACTTTCAAAGGATTGACCCAAATGATCGATATACTTACTCTCTGTTAAAATAAACGTTGGGGTTTTGTAGATTACAGTTAGAAGGAACGCATAATAAGGATTCTAAACACATGGGATATTGAATCCATTTTCAGAGATCTAAAAAATTTATTCTATAAAATCTGAATAATCTTGACAGTTTTCCAAGCACACAGCTGTTAACCCAACTTTTAAACACCTTGATCTTAAACTTTTGAAAATATGATAAATTATGAATTTAGGAGATCTCCGATTTTGAATCCTATCGTCCGAACTTCTGTACGATCCAATCAAAACAGGTAATTCAAATTCTTTCATGTTTTCGTGCAGAGAGACCCATAAACTGTGGGATCGTTGAGACAAAATTATAACAATCTTATGTACACGTGAACATATTTTATGATATCGTATTGCAAATGGTTTTGCCGGAAGCTTACAATATCAAGGTTGTAATGCAAGGAAAGTTATTTCAGAGGTGTACGCATTTTTTGTACTGCAGTACTGTCTTGGGCGGTAATGTAAACACAAGACGGATGTCGAAGCCTCACATGGTATCCATCTTTCACATAAAAAATCAATGATACATTCTGGTCATAGGAAACTATTATATGAATTATCAAAATTATCAAAATTTAATGCTTTTAACCCCCTCAGATACTAAACGAACAATGATGCATCTATTATTGTTTACAAATTCCGCCTAGAGAGAACTGGTTTCAATATGTACGTAACTGCAATTAACTTTCCTTGCATTACATCCTTGTACAATATCAACTAATTACGTTGAAATGACAGTTCACACTAAACACTGTACAGTGTACACTGTACAGTGAATACCGCAATATTGCCGTGTTCCAAGTTCATTGCACTTTTTAAAATCCTAACTTGAGTCTTCTTCTTCCACAGTTTTATTGCCCTTACGTTGTATTTCCCTTAAACTGATGTTTTCAATAATGCAAGCTTTGTTCACAAAATTAATTTTTCTTTTTTTCTTCACAATTCGTCATAAAACGTAATTATTTGTAATTACTAATCTAATAAACAACCGTTTTAAGGTGTTTTCTTAAAAGTTAAAAACGCCGGGTTGCATTTTTTTCTTTTTAGAATCCAAATAAATATATAAACATCCAATTCAATTGTTATTATGATGTGTAGTATAGCTAGAATTCTCTAAATTTCTTGAGCCCACGATTTAAAAGCTTAGACTCGGGTTTTAATTCCAATTAGACCCTTGTTTAAGTCTTCATCTTAGACCCAACTTAAGAATCAGCTGAGGAAACTTGTGTCATGTGATTGTCATGAAAATCAACCAAATACAATATTAAACCTGTTTAATAAACCAATTTCTATGGAAAATTGGTCGCAATTTATATATCAAAGCTTATAGTTTTAAATTAGTCTCAGTGACAGCATAGTGTTTATTGAGTCTTCTTTTCTACAAATTAAAAAGATCGTGGGCTCTGAACATTTTGTGTTTTAAAGGTTAAGATCAGTAAAAACTTTTGATCAGAAAATTTTTTAGTATTCACACAAACCTTGTCGATCGACGGCTTTCAAGCAGAGTTGGTTCCATCAGTATCAGCCTAGCCCCTCATCCCTCCCCCATCCAAACCAGATCAAACTCACCCCTATCCTGTAGATCCAACAGACTGGAGATACCTAGAGAATACTGTAACCCAACTCTTCAAGTTCCGGCCCCACCGTCACAACACCAGGATATTGCCCAAAAAAGGCAAAATAGAAATTACTCTTCGAATCTGAATGATGCTGTGAACATCAAGATGCCACAGGTTAGTGATTCACAAGAACAAATACAAGATAATTGTCAAAACTTATCTGGCAGTGACAGCTGTCAACAGCCTTGTGAAAAAGACAGCTGTCAACAGCCTTATGAAAAAGGGAGCTGTCGACCAACTTGTGACAAGGATAGTTCTGCACATTCTTTAGGCAAGGACCGCTGTTCTACACAGTCTTGTGGCAATGACAGTCGTCCACAGTCTTGTGAAAATGACAGTTGTCATCCTGTTTGTGATTATGACAGCTGTCCAAAACAGCCCTGTGACAATGACAGCAGCCAATATACCAGTGATAATGACAGCATCCTGCATTTAGCTCAGAATGGCAGCTGCCCGCAGATATCTCAGAATGACACCTATGCACAGTTATCTCAAACTGACTGCTGCCCACTGTTAGGTGACAATGACAGCTGCCCACTGCCATGTGACAGTGCCAGCTGTCCGCAGATTATAGATTCTCCCATTGAAAATCAAAATATCAATCTAGAGCTGAGCGATGTTAGAACGCCTGCCAAAAAACTACCAATTAAGCTTAGCAGTGACAGCTTGATAAAAAAACAAAATGTCGATACTCCTACTATTGGTATTGGATGTAGAAAAAGGCTAAACAAAATTGGCGCATTAGTACAGAAACCATCCTGGGAGGAAACTACTGTTTAACGATGCTACATGGAAACTAACCTAGTGGAAACCGACCTAGAGTAAACTACCTAATCATTGAGTAGTTAGAAAGGAAATATCGCGTAGTTTAAACTTGCACGCATTTTTACGGATTTAAATCGGCTCTCCATTAGAAATTCGTCTAATCCAACTTCACTCTCCTGACCAAACCTATTTTCAGATTTAACACAAATTTAGGTCAGAAAACACTTAGGTCAGAATTTTCACTAGGTCAGATGAGCGGGTACCTTTTAAACATCTTGTGATTACTTAGAAAAAGGTGTAATATTTTTTACATAAAAAGCCAGTTTTGGCTAGTGTAATTAACTCAATCTAGTTATTCATAAATTTTGACCATTATTACATACATGTTTGTAAATATGTAATGTATGTATTATGTAGTATTTGTACATATACAATGTCGGAAAACTCTGTCAGGTCTATATGGTCTGGAAAACTCATAATAAGCAGAAATACCCTCAAACCCTGTCAAACCAGAAGCAGTTTAAAATTTTTATATCTCATGAAAAAATAGGTCAAACAATCATCACAAAATAGTTTAAATGATTAAAAAAAATATTTCACATCGACATAGTAATAGTTGAAATAAACAAAATAAAAGTTTAAATAAACCCAAAAATAATTCAATAAAATTGTTCAAATGAGCAAAATAATAGTTTAAATGAGCAACATAATGGTTCAAATGAGCAAAAAAATACAAAAAATCATATAAAATAGTTTAAATGAACCAATGAGGCAATGATAGTTAAAATGAACAAATGAATTTGTAAACAAACATTCAATTTAACTTCAAACGAACCAAAAAAAAATGCTAAAAGAAAATAGTTGTTCAAATGAACATAAAAATATTTCAAATAAAAAAAATAGTCTTAAAAAATGTTAGTTCCTGCGTAAACTATATTTCATGTTATTTTAATTTTCATAGATTATTTTTTGTTCATTTAAACTATTTATTTTCTTCGTTTAAACTATTTTTTGTTCATATAAACTATTTTTTTGTTCATTATAATTATATGTTCATTTGAACTTTTATTTTGTTCATTTGAACTAATTTTTTGCTCATTTAAACTATTTCTTTGATTATTTAAACTTATTTTTGGTGCATTTGAACTGTTTTTTTGGTGCATTTGAATAGTTGTTTTGTTAATTTGAATTATTTTTTTTGCTCATTTGAACTATTTTTTTTGCTTATTTGAACTATTTTTTGGTTTACTTGAACTATTTTTTATTTTTTTCTAATTGGAACTATTTTTTGGTTTATTTGAATTATTTTTTGCTCATTGGAAATATTTTTTCGGTCATTTGAAACACTTTTTTTAATAGTTCAAATGAACAATAGTTTAAATAAACATTATTTAATAGGATCATTTGAATTATTGTTTTGCTCTTTTAAACTTTTTTTTTGACCATTCAAACTATTTTTGGTTTATATGAACTATACTTTTTTTGCTCATTTGAACTATATTTTGGTTCATTTGAACAATTTTCATTGTTCATTTAAACTTTTTTCGGTTCATTTTCTATTTTTTGGTTCATTTTAGCTATATTTTTAGCTCGTTTGAACAATTTTTTTGCTCATTTGAACCATTTTTTTAGTAGTTCAAATAAACATTAATTAATAGTTCAAATGAGCACAAAATTTTGTCGTACAAACAAATATATTTATGAGGAAACCCATGGACATGCCAGATGTAACATATAGACTGAAAAAATCGTATTTTTTGTTCAAAAATCGATTATTTTTCAAAATTCGGGTTAAAAAATTTTTCCTTCAGTAAGTGAGTAACATTATTCTCAAGAATCAAGAATGAATAAATAATATCTTATTTAAGAATGTTCTTCTTGCTAGATAAATTCAACCATATAATGTTACAAATTTCGAGTACTTTCCCTCCAGTACAAAACAGAAGGAGGAGGGGGGGGGGGAAGAAATTATTACTTAAAGAATAGTTAATAACTCTTTCGTGTTAATAAAAAAATCATAGTTTGTTTTCTTAAAATTTTTTGTTCAAGAAGATGTAATACAACAAATTCCCGGACAATTGTCTTTCAGCTTTAATTGTAGAGAATTAATTTCAAACAAGAAAACTATTGTGTTTTGTAAAATGTATGAATATATATATCTAAAATAATGTATCTAACGTAAATTATATTCTATATTTGTTAAATATATGTATTTATCTAATATTCCTATTTACCAACTAAAAACATTAGTCATCAATCTTATTATCTGTAGGTTTATTAGAATTTATTAGTTCTGACCTGGAATAAAAACCTAACATTGAATGCGGGCAATGCATACAGTTTACGAGCAATATTTTATCTGATAAAAAGGTACATTTATAGAAAAGCATTTTATTGATTGACATTTCATAGATATTACAAAGACAGGACATTTTATATCATAGATCATTTCATACATCGGAAACTTCATGGAAAAGACATTTTCTTATTAAGACATTTTATACAGGGGAGGATACAGGATTTAAGTGAGGGGGGGGGGCAAGATTTTTTAGGAACAAAAAAATTAATAATTAGGAACAAAAAATCATGCCGCAGGCGAAATTTTTTTTTGACTTAAAAGACTCAAATAGAGTCAAAATTAATGACTAAAGACTAAATAACTAGATTTTTAAATTTTAGGAACAAAATTAAAGGATTAGAACAGGGATTTAGGAACAATAAACAGATTGTTCAGGAATTAGGAACAAAAATATAGGATTAGGACAGGAATTTCAAGTGGGTCGGACACAGGAACAGGAACAATAATAGGACCATTAGCAATTTAAGAACAAAAAGAAATTACTAGTTATACTTAAATGCATGAAAATTATGAACAATATTACAATTTTGATAAATGAGTATTGATTAAGGAACATTACTAGATATGAACAATATTATAACTTAAGTTTAGTTTCTTACAAATTTCTAATTCTAAATTTATCGTTAACAATAACATTTATCAAATTGGGAACATTTTTTGCCTCAAAATCTCAAGGGGGGGGGGCTACGCCCCTCCCTGAATCTGTCAGGAGGGGGCAAATGTCCCCCCGCCCCTGATTTTACAGAACACAATTCATTTACAGGACATTTCTGGATAAGGCATTTCATAGAAGAAGAAGATTTTGTGATATTTCATGATGTTTGCCTTAAGAAAAGAATAAAAACCGCAGATTTGTGGTCAATGTGTCCAATTTTGCTCAAAATTTAATGACACCACGTCAGAAATCCAAAAGAACCTATGATTTAATACCTCGCATGCGGCATGACTCATTTTATATATATATATATATTTTATATATGAGTTTATTGAAATTTTTGAGGTCAAAAAGGGCCGAGGAATGGAATCAGGACACCAAAAACTGGTTTTATAGTTTGATCTCTTGAGAGACTATAATTGAAAGAAGGTCAAACTGGAGGTTAGATATATGTGTTTCTGTTAGCACATGTCTTATGTGGTTGCTAAAAACATGAAAAAACGTCTGATTACACTAAAATAATTGAGAGTGAAGCATATGCTATTTTGCCCTATTTCCTGCGTTTCATGAGGTCAAAATGGAGGTCAATGACCTCCGATCCCAAAATTGGAGGCTGTTTCAAATTTCAAATTTTTAGACAAAATACCCTGAAAGAGTTTCAAAAAAAGAGAAAAAATTACGAAAATACAGAATGTTCTCAGAAAATCATGCTTTTAACCCACTTAATGTCCGAGCGCAATGGGATATTTTAATATGTTTTAGATGTGAATATAATAAGGATTTAGAATTTTTTTCAAAAATCAAATGGGTATATTTATTTTTTTGGCCGGTTTTCCAAAAATATAAAAACGCTTCTTTTTCTTTCACACCCTGTTTATCAGATTTGAAAAAAACGGATCATAATAGTTATCACATATGTGAAAAGACATGTGTCTTGGATTTCTAAATTTATATCAAGAATTGCTATAGCTCCAAAACTTACCATGAAAAAACTGTCTATTTGCAAATTTCAAAATTCATGAATTTACAATTTTAAAAAAAATCAATAAGATTGCATTTCTCCTTTTCATATGAAAAGGTATCCTGGAATTTGGAGCAAAAACGGAGACAGTGACCACAAAGTGTGGTGATTATGCTTGGGCTGACCCATATTTAAAATTCAATATTTTGCAAGTTAGCTTTTTCGTTTTGAATCTGACCGGAGATATTCTATTCAGCATCAAAAATCTAGCAATTATGAATTTGAAGTTTATTTTAAAAAATGTTTACGTTAAAACTTGAAATGGCCAGAAATATCCCCTCTTGCCATTTCTCTTGTAAATAGATGCCTTTTATAAGGGAGAAAGGTGCAACCTAAAATTTACAGAGGCCCACACAATACGGGGGGGGGGGGCGGGCAGAAATAAATTAATGTAAGTATCTAATGCTCTTGGATCTAATTTTACATTTGTAAAATTTAATTTAATAAAAATTTAAGTTTTCTAATTTTCTTCTAACTTTTAATCTTTAAGATGAGTAGACAGAAATTTAGTCAAAGTTAAAATAAAAAATCCCTCGGAAATTATGAAATAAACAGTATTTTGTAATTCTTTTCTCATGGCTTTGGCGCCTAAATACATGAAGATATGTAGATTGGAAGAACAAATTCACCAATAAACATGGGAATGAAGATTGCGAGTTTATAATTTAGAATAGGATTATGAGCTTAATTGACCCTCCATGCAAAGATTGCAATTGTCCAATTCATAACGGAACACTGTTCGTTTTCCGTGTTTAATTCTGATAATTTATTTATGTTTTCGGCTTATTGCAACAAAAATGCGCAGGTCACTTTTCTAGAGAAACCATATTTGAAAATTATCAGTTTTTCAAATTTTAAACATTAATTCTATATTTTGATCCTGAAAGAGAATATAAACAATATTTACAACCAATATGTTCCCTCTAACAACCTATATTCCTGGTAGTAAAAACTACTGTAGATATTTGAATGCTTGTATGAGAACCCGGAAATAATGAAAAATAAGATCAACTGAAGAAACTCAACAACTCAACAACTCAATTTTAAAATCCATTTATCTTTGCAACCTGAAAACCTTTCGTTTTTGAAACGAAGCCTAATTAATCTGGCAGAATTCACAGCTTATAATAACAAAAGTCTACCACATAAGGTTGCAAAAATATAAAACTTAAACATTACTATTAAACACTAGAGAGCTGGAGAACTAGAGAACTAGAGAACTTGAGAACTAGAGAACTAGAGAACTAGAGAACAAGAGAACATGAGAACTTTGAACTAGAGAAATAGATAACTAGAGAACTAGAGATAGAGAGCTAGAGAACCAGAGAACTAGAGAACTAGAGAACCAGAGAACAAGAGAACCAGAGAACTAAAGAACCAGAGAACTAGAGAACCAGAAAACCAGAGAACTAGAGAACTAGAGAACCAGAGAACTAGAGAACTAGAGAACCAGAGAACCAGAGAACTAGAGAACCAGAGAACCAGAGAACCGGAGAACCAGAGAACCAAAGAGCGTTGATTCTAATTTTGAAAACTGTTTAGATAGGTGTGAATTTGGCCATTTGACAAACAAACGATTAAGTTATAATTAGAAAGAGTGGAGTGTAGATTTAGGATCTAATATAATTAAAAATAGCCTGGTACAGGGGTCGCACACTCAATTAAAAGAAAGTTAATATTAAACTAAAAATGAAAAGATTTACAGATAAACGGAAGAAACCTGAGAGGATGTTCTCAGATCTGATAAAGAGACAGATAGATAGATAGATAAACAGACAGACAGATAGATAGATAAATAGACAGAGAAACATATAGACACATAACATATAGATAAACAGCGAGACAGATAGGATATATAAACAGATAGATAAAAAGATAGATAAACTGACATGCAGATAGATATACAGATGGATAGACATATAGCTAGACAGATAGACAGATAGATAAAACATATTCCCAAATGCACACTTCTGGAACATATTCTCAAATGAACACTTCTGGGATCTCGAAAATTATGAATGAATTTTGATTGTCAATTGAAACATTAATCTATCTAATATTATTTAGAATGCAGAAAATAAGTAAAACTAACTTCATTTTGACGAGAATTTTTTTTTTAAATTTTCATGAAAAAAAAATAAAATAAAAAATCCGTACAATCCGTACATTTTGGCCACCCTGAGAATATATAAACAAAAAATGCTCAAAACGATTTACAACCTTAGATACAGCCAAATAAACATAATCCGCTAATAATTAATGAATGTTTATTTCGATGAAGATCACATTGTTTGATTTTTACAGTAAACATGTTTGTAATATTCGCAAAACGGCGCAGACTAGGATGTTCGACAGATACGCCTGGTGGTGAAAACTCAAATTCATGTCAAGCATGTGTTTTCATTCATGTTAAAGAATAAAGCTTACAGGTTCATTGAAAATCCGTCTAAAAAATTGAATTTTTAACCAGTAATTTGCGCTTTGGGAAAGAGTTGGTTTAAAAAAAAATTTCTTTGAGAAAATTGGTTATGATATATTTACTTATAACGGGAATCCGATCAATTACTTACGTTATGGTTTAACACCACTTTACGTCTAATTGAGATTTATGTAACAGACAATACAGTGTTTAAATTGCGATTGGTTTCACCCATTTACGACGTCATCATGTCGTTCACAGATGATGTAATGTTTGGTCCTTTCAGACTCTCGTTGATATCTCTTCGGAATACAGAGAGATTCTGGGTAAACCTGAACAAAAAGAGCCTGGGTTAAAGGGACTGTAAGCGTAATTTCAAGATTGCAATTCACAACGCTACCCTTTAAAGATTTGTCTGATTAAGCATGAATTAGATATCAATGTAATAATTTTGATTATTTTCAATCGTGATTACTCAACAAAAGTGACTTGCGCATTTGTACTACAGGAAAAAAGTAGGAATTTTTAAACCTAGGAAAACTACAATGTCTTCTACATTTTCAATCAGATAAAGGTTCTGTTGTGAATAGGGCATTGCCATTTCATGAGGGTCACTTGAAATCACGCTTACAGTCCCTTATAGTGATTTAGATTTTGTATAACTATTATGTCATTTATTCTTTTCTATTTTGTTAACAACGTTCTTTAATTGGACAGTTTCATTACATGTTGTTAAATGTTTGCAAGGGAAGGAAACTATATCGCTTGATTGGTAAAAACTTAATTTTGAGTGATAAATACCAAACAGGAGGATGCTTGCCTAATAATATCCAATATTTAATTCCCCGTGGAAAACAAGCTTCGAGCATTAGTTCCTTGATTATTATTATTCTGATTTTTGCTATCACATAATCTAAATCAGATATTACTGAAGAAATTAATCATATTTAGTGCTTTGCTTGCAACCCAGGGTTTCTTCACACAGAAATTAGGTTAAAAATATCTTGTATAAGATGAAATGATTTTCCAAGATTATTAATTTAAAACAAATTGGAACTTATTAATTTACAGAATCCATGATTTATCCTGGGACCAGACTTAATGAATATCGAGCTTAACTAGGTAGTTTAACCATTTCTCTTGTGCACTAGTTTAAGCTGAATTGATTTGTTTTGAACTACTTCTATAAGCGGTTCAACCATGTCTAGCTATTCATTATTTCTGACCCCTTATCCCTGTATCAAGATTGATAAGTGGCGGGTTCGAGTGTTGGTTAAGTAATACCATTCTTTAACTTGTGTTGCGACCAATCATATTACTGCTATTCTAGATGATATAGCTAAAGTTCAGAATTTAGATCTCTAGAACTCGCCTAAGATCTAGAACATCAGCTGACATAACATGACACTACCACAGAAAGTGACCACTCGATTAAAGTGCTATTAATAATTCAAATAATTACCATTCACAATTTTTTCTAAAAAACAATATCTTGAATTGAATCGGTTTTTACTGTTTAGGAAAATTATAACAAATTGTCAGGATTTAAATATGCGCCTGTTAAGATTCTCTCGATGCGCCTGATGTACAGAAAATGAAGTCTCCTTATCATAAATAGATAGAATCCGCCTCTGTAATCAGTGACGTCATATGCGGATTCTATCTATCTATCTATGCTTCAGAGACGACATTTTCCGTACATTGGAGCGCATCGAGAATAACAAACCGTATTAAAGAACCTTGATATTACCTGTCCCTGTTCTTGGTGAGCAGGTTCCGTTCTATCCCGTCCATGAGGTTCTCAAACCAACTCATCATAACTCCTCGTTTTTCCAGTATCTGGGTTTGGATTATCTGATCTCGTAGGTTCTAGGGTAAAGGATTTGTCAATATATATAAAGTTGTAATCTCCGTTAGTCTGTTAGTTTGTTAATCCTATTTTAACTGAGTAACCCCTTGACATATTTGGCCTCAAATATTTATTGGGGAACTCGGGAGGACCACGGGAATGTTCTTAGCTTGGGTTTCAGATTCTAAACTGAGTGGGTCGACTTTTATCAGATCATTTGAGCCTTAAACAATAAAACAGGACTGAAGAAACGTAATTTGAAGTGATTGTCTGTTTAAAGAGTGACACGTTCGATTCTAAACTGATAGTTATAAAAAAATTTCTGGAAAAAATTGAATAAAATTGTTAGAATTTTATATTTTTAATTTAAATCTTTAAAATATACAGTATCTTTTACTTTATTGATTGGATAAAGGATTAAAGGGTATTTTTGTGAATCAGACAATGACAGTCCATTAAATTAAAACATGGGAATAGAATGAGACCTATTTCTGGACAATCTGTGAGAAAAAACATTTATACCTGAAAATATTCTTCATTAAGAAGAATAAGACCAAGAAGAGGTCTGGACATAGACCACTGGTTCCTACAGTCCTCAAACATTATTATGTTCAATACCTGAACAATGATATCTAAATATAATATATATATATATATACATATTCCGCAATCATGCTGCTGATGAATATCCAACATGAAACACAGTGTCCAGCAATAATCAATCTTAATAAACAATAGAACATGTTCTCGACTTATTTTAAGAAGATATATATATACAATATACATAGACATCTGGATTCTACAGTCCACGAATGTTTACTAAGTATTAATATATTTGGACTGACAAACAATTTGGGCGTGATCGGTTCAGCCGTTTTGACGTTCAGTTAAAACCGACAACCCGAAAGACAAACAGACCTGAGTCCAAAACTAAAGAACGAAAAGTTTTGACTTAAATTTTAAGTTCATGGTTAAATGCCCCTTCTGACTTAATTTAAACCTGAACTTTAACCGCGAGGTTAAATATTTAACCCTGTGGTTAAATATTTAACTCGCCGAAATCGACGAGTTAAAATTTAAACACATGGTTAAAATCTTGAAATCCCGCAATCCCTATTTGTCTATCATCATTCAGCGGTAAGAGGCATTCAATATGTGACGAGAAATATGTTTTGTTTTTCGTCACGTAACAATTAAAATTTAAAAAACAGCTGATTACCGAATACCGATACTTACGTAATAATTCTTTAAATCCTTTACTCTGATTGGTTCAGATTTTTCCCGGGAAATTCAAATTTAAAATTGAGAAAGTTTAATATTTAAGTAGCTACTCATTATTTTACAGAACTTTTAACCTCGAACTTAAAATTCGCGCATTCTTTAGTTTTAGACTCTGGTGCACTAAACTTTAAATAATATAGAAGAAACATCTAAGTTATTATTTCTGAAAAAAAAAACTATCTTTGTTTTGGACAAACTATTTTTCCAAGATCTTTGCTGAAAATTAGGCAGGCGTTCTTGGAAATTAAATATTTCGCATGAAAAATTCAAAATTATTTTCTGGAAAATATAAAACAAAGATTACTTTTCAAACAATATTGGATCACATTAACATGTTTTATCCCACAGCCATTGTACAATTTTGTAAGGAAAATATAACTATTTTCTGCCTTTTAGAAGTAACAGAAGAAAGAGCTAAAACCCCCCCGCAGTTGGAGAACCCATACTGCCTTTATAGGATTAAATCATTAAATAAAATGTAAAGAGTAGACCACTGCACGGGATGGGATTAATTAAATTGACTTGTCGATGTTACGCAAACGGATTTCTTAGTCTAAAAAGAGATTAGGCAATGTTGATCTCCAGGGTCGAGCTCCAGCCACTTACCCGTGTCAGCTTAAATCATTATGGATCATATAGGATTTGAATTTTTATAGGACTTAGTGTGTATGCCAGATATGAAGGGAGGCCTAGAAATGCTTTGAATGACATTTTAGAACAGTACAGACGTCTGTTTGAGAGTAATTGAAGTGTTTAAAAAATCTTGAAAAATTTGAATAAGAACTTTATGCAGCAGAATCAGACAGGGGGTAAAACCACAATATCTTTCACTAAAAATAATTTAAGAAATTCTTTGTGACATGAGATCTTCAATGAACGATCCCTTAAGGTTACATTGAAAGCCCTTAAAAGTTATATAAAAATTATAAAATATAAAATTATATATAAAAAATTATATTTAATACTCAATAGATTCTGATAAACATTCATTTGAGCATTCAACATTAAAATTTTAGCAGAATTTTTTGTCATAAATTAAATTACACTTGTGTAAATATAAATTCTATAATTTTCCATAAAAGGTTTTGATATTTCAAATCCCCCGGAGGTCGCAACTCTTTTAATGTGGAAATTGTGATTAATGCTTGATCTGGATCGTTTGCTAATCTTCAAATTAATCTAATCTTTAATTAACTGTTATCCTTCATGGTAATTGTTACCAGTTTGAGGTAGAAAGGAGCTTTGATCAGATCAGATCAGTTTTATATCAATCCTGAAATTAAAAGTATCCAAAGTGGATATTGAGATCAAGCGATCGGGGTTATGAGTATAAGATCTGAAGATATGGAAAGGTTCCCTTTTTTTAATAAATCCATAAATTTGAAGTGCCCACACAGCGGAGACTGCTAGAAGAGGATAATTACAACAATAACTACAATAGGTTTTAATGTTACAATGATGTTATCTTTTTTACTTAATTAAACCATGTGCTATGGTGAATAGGGTTAAATGTAATAACAATACAGCATACAGCATAGGAATACAAGAATATTATAAACCACCCGACTAAAAGGCAGTTGCCATTCTCTGTTGCGCGCAATGCTCCGTGAAATTCCAAAACAGAGAGAGGGGGATTAAATTTTGTAGATCCAGAAAATTAATATCTGCGTAGAGACTGGCAGCTGGTGGGGTCTTAAATGTAAGACATGTGGCCGCAGCGCTCGGCCCCCTAGCCTGTCCTAGCCGCAGCACTCGGCCCAGAAAGTGTCTTAACCTAACCTAACCCTAAATAAATACTAATTTAATTATTTTTCTGGATCTACAAAAGATCTATGCAAGAGGCCCTATTGTGGACCCCGATTAAAATATCTGTTAAAATGATGCAACTTTTTTTACAACGTTAATTTCTAAAAATCATTATCATACAATCACCTATTTTAGTAAATAGGGTAAATGTAATAAAACCTTACAATAGTTGCATGCATATGAATACAAGAATGTAATTAACTAACCGATTGAAGAATCTGTTGAAGTATTTCAGGTCGCATATTGATGACTGCTAGCAGAGGGTCATTGTCAGGAAGCTGACCAGCACGGGATTTTTTACCTTTTAAGAAGAGACTTATAATTAACCGACTTTTTAAAGTTATCAAAATCCACGATTCAAACTTGAGATGACTTGACTAAATTAAGAATAAAACAAGGGCTTTTAGCTTGTAAATGTTAAGACTTTTATTCTTTAAAGCTGCTGTTGGCCTTGTAAAAATTAAAATGTTGTACTTGTTTTCCATGTTTAGTTATGGATCGTCTTTATTTTATATATCATAACAGATACAACGGACATCCGACAACCTGATTACCAGGATCAAACGAACAATCTGAGCCCATTTGATTGAATCGATTTTTGATAGGTTGCTACTCTGATGGCTTTTGAAGGCAAATATGTTTGTGACACAAATGTTTGAATGTGAATGTGATTGTGAAACAAAGGTCTGAATGTGAATAAGATTGTGACACAAAGGTCTGAATGTGAATAAGATTGTGAAACAAAGGTCTGAATGTGAATAAGATTGTGACAGAAATGTCTGAATGTGAATAAGATTGTGACACATAGGTCTAAATGTGAATAAGATTGAGACACAAAGGTCTGAATGTGAATAAGATTGTGACACAAAGGACTGAATGTGAATAAGATTGTGACACAAAGGTCCGAATGTGAATAAGATTGTGACACAAAGGACTGAATGTGAATAAGATTGTGACACAAAGGTCTGAATGTGAATAAGATTGAGACACAAAGGTCTGAATGTGAATAAGATTGTGACACAAAGGTCTGAATGTGAAAAGATTGTAACACAAATGTGAATATTATTAAAACGAGTTAATTGAGTAACTGTAGTTATGGTTTAGATTTTAATGTTAACTAACCTTTATGTGAAACCTTCCTGAATAGATATGAGACAATATTGTCCAGAGTAGCACAGCATCCGGTACACACCATAGTATCTACAATACACATATATATTATATATATATAGCACAGCATCCGGTACACACCATAGTATCTACAATACACATATATATTATATATATAGCTCAGCATCCGGTACACACCATAGTATCTACAATACACATATATATTATATAGTTTTTTTATAAATTGAATAAAACTTCTATGATTTTAAAACTGTATTATGTCAAAGTATTCTGACCATGAAAGAAAATAAAGGAAAAAACTACCCACAGAACGAACCACCTGAAGGCACATTACTACATATATATATATATATAAATATATATATATATATGTCTAGTCTGTTTCTTAGTATATATGTCTGATCATAGCGTTGGAACCCCTTTGACCAATTTGTTTCAAAGTTAGATTAGGAAACTCAACATAGCTATGTGAACGTACGTACGTGATTTGGCTTTAAGATTCTAAGTAGATTAAGTTGACCTTTTTAATCATAGGGAAAGTTAAGTTTCCAGCCAAAGCTGGAGTTTCATGCTAGAACCTTATTTTCTAAATGATAGATGACAATTTACATATAATCTTAATGAGGAGACGTTTCAAATGAAATTTAAACCCCCGAGGGGGCAGGTTTTTAAATCTTGAAAAGGGGAGTATGAACTTAAAAAAAAAAAATATTTGATACAAATGAAAAATGTAAAATTATTAGAAGTGGAATATTTCTCATATTTTATTCCTTTTATCCGAATATTTCCCTCTAAAATCCAGTTGACAGTACAGTACAGCAAAAAAAACTCAAAAACTGTTTCCTGACAATTTTCAGCATTTTTTTTACAGTAAAAGCGATCAGTTTTTAAGAAATATTTTCAACTAATTGAATATAATTTAATTAAATCTAATTAGTTGAAATTTCCTTTGATTTTAGTTTTCTAGAGTAAATGACATTCTTTGGTAACATGCATTAGAGTTCACCATTATCGCACAATTTTTTTATTTATGATATACTCCAATATTTCATCCTTTTCATAAAAATCCACTGAGCACAAAAATGCATAAAAAATGTTGTGGTAAAACTCAACCAGCTTTATGTTTATCTTGAAAAGTTGACGAAAACAAAAACACATTTTTTCATAGTATTTGTTAATTGATTCTAAATATCTGTTTTTTTTCATTTTTAAGTATTGTTTTTTATTGTGAAGACACAAGCACCTAAAAATAAGCCATTTTTGGCAATCAAACTAGAAGTAAAAGTAATATTTTTTAGGTTAGGATCTATAAAGTCATAATAAACATATCGAGTAAGATTTCAACCACCTTTCTGAGCTTTAAGCGAATTAAAAAAGAAATGTAAATTCAAATGATTTTTTGATTTAGTTTCGTTAATAAACACTTATTGGATTCCATGATCCTCCCGCTATATATGTTTTAAAAATCATTGAAAATGAGTGCATAACAGCAAAAAACGATGCTAGGTACTTTCCCAAAGGATTTTTCCCAAGTGGCAACTTCCCCTGGGTATTTTCCCAATCGAAAACTTCCCAAGCGACTAGCCGCAGCGCTCATCCACCCAGCCTGTTCTAGCCGTTGCGCTTTGCTCCTTAGCCGATCCTAATCGCAGCGTTCGGCCCCCATTGCAGCCTGCGGCGCCTCAGAGGGCCTAACCTAACCTTTGGGAAGTTGCCGCTTGGGAAATTGCACATTTTAGAAGTTTCCACAAGTGGAAAATTGTCACCTTTGAGAAAGTACTTAACACCGAAAAAAATGCTAATTATAAGACAATTTGTTGTTATTTAGGTTTTTTTGTGCGTTTATAAAAGTATCTGATATTAATCATTTCTTAAAGTTCATTATTTTAGTAATAATATTAATAAAAACAATTATTATAATCATAATAGTCTGTTACGCGAGCCATGCTGCGTGAAGAAAGTCTGTTTGTCGCCCCTGCGTATTTCTGAGTTTCTCCTGAAGATCTGTAC